ACTTGGGAAGCCGAGAATGAAATGAAAAAGAAGTACCCTCATTTGTTTGAATAACCATGTAATAGCTCTATAAAGTAGTTCCCCTTTAGTTTTGTATCACTTGTTCGGCTAATATATAGGCACTACTTTCTAGTTATATGTCCCCCATGAGGCTTCCGTTGGTGTTAATTTGCATTCTGTTGTGTCATTTTATTCTATATATGTTGCTAAGGTGTGTTTCTATGGCTCTCTGACAGGTGGATAGGCCTAAATACAAAGGAAATTCTTGTAAAATTTTCAGAAAGTTAGGAAGTTTGGCAAATTTGGGGCTGATGGTATGTGGTACAACTGAAACTGTGTTAAGAAAACCTTGATCATCATTTGAGGACGAATGATCTTAAGTGGGGGAGGATGTAAGGACCCGTAAAACGTTAAACCAAAAACTCGTGGTTTCGTGGTGCCAAGATAGATTCCTACGTTCTGACTTTTTAGATTGAACAGTACCCTATGGACTTTGACAGGGAGAGCACCACTACCTGCGATCAGCGCTATCTGCGATGGAACCACCTACATCCATTCAAAGATGTAGCGCCCCCGGCAAAAGGGGCGTTAGTACTGTCGAATAGTACTAGTATGTAAGGCAAACACTAATCTTAGTAAAATAAATAGTGAAACAAAGAGAAGGCAGTCATAACAATCAATAAGTACTTCACAGAAGTACAAAGAATCACCAAATAAGGATGACATAATTTCCAATTCAATCTTTCCATCTTTTTAGGTTAATGATATTTAGTGCCAAAGCCACAACTCACAATGCCACCGTGTTTTTACACGGAGTCCGGTCTCGGCCCGACCGGCTAAATCATCCCAAGTGAGACATATCCATATCCACAATGTAAATCAATAATTCCAACACAAATGCCACCATGTGTACGGCATGGTGTCCCATCTTGGCCGATCGGCTAAGCCATCTCACATGAGACATAACCTCTTTCAAGTATTCACTCAATTCGCATCTCTTTCCCATCTTTTATTACATGCCACAAACAGCCTCATTTATTAAATAGTTCTTGGAACATTTTACCATTCAAGTCTTTCTCTTTTTATTCGTTCAAGTAACGTCATCATTCATGTCGATAAGTACCATCACATAAGGCATTTCACACATAATAGAAGGAGCTTGGAAAATCATAGTCACGTTCTCAAATAGCATGATGACATGGTAAACATCTAAAACAATTAGGGAACATGAATCTTCCAACCCAACACACTAAGGAAAACAATTCTAGTATGATTAAGTCAGAACATACACCAAATATTCGGATACCAGGAGTTCGATTCTAGGAAGAAGAGAGTTAGCCATACATATCTCAATTGTACTTCTTTAGACTCTACAATTATCTGGAACCCTTAGCAATCTCAATCTATTTTAGCAATTTACAAATTGAACCCAAAATTAGGAAAACTTTCATGGTTCTAGTTTCCTTTTCCACACTCTTTTTACCACACATGCATGCAAGAAAAACAACCCTCATCCCATGGACCATCTTATTAATTACTCATTTTTAGTATAAGTTTCAAAAATTTAGGGCTAGGGTATAGATTCTTACCTCTAGGATGGAGGCCTAGATTGCTTTCCTTGATAATCTTCAATGTTTCAAGCAAGAATTGAAGAATAATTGATGAGGATTACTTTCTCACTCTAAGGCTACCTCTCTCACTCTATAGTATCAAAAAATGAGCTCAAAATAGACTAAATGGGGTGTTTTAACGGAATGGGGGTCGGGTTTTAGATTAAGAAAAATNCTCTCCCTCTCTCACTCTATAGTATCAGAAAAATGAGTTCAAAATAGACTAAAGGGAGTGTTTTAATGGAATGTGGGTCGGGTTTTAAATTAAGAAAATGGGTGTCCCGACACAGGTCTGCTCATAACGATTATGCGATCCGCAAAGTGACCGCAAGAAATGGCCCTCAGGGGCCCGAACTTACGGCTCAGATATGCGACCAGTAAGCGGTCCGCATACTCGTTCTGCAGTCGCATAATGCATCGCAAAACTCCCTCCGCAAAAACCCAAGAGGGATTATGCGATCGATATGCGGTCCGCATAGTGGTTATGCGGTCGCATAATCGACTGCAAAGCTGACCTCGAACTGGCCAACGTACAGCTTCACTCTGCGGCCATTATGCGATCCGCAGAGTGATTATGCGACCGCATAATAGGCTGCAGAAACGCATTCTTTTGCGAAATATTTTTCTCCCAGCACGTAGGGTACTGTTCAATCCAAAAAGTCCGAACTAACTTGGAATCTAATAACGCAGGAATCTAACTTGGCACCACGAAACCTTGAGTTTTTTGGTTAAACTTTTTACGGGTCCTTACATATGTGTCCGCCCCACATACAACAAACATGATTATTTATTAGGAAAATTCCTTCAAACCAAATCTAGGTAAGACACTTACTCATCCGGGACAGTCTATAGCTCCAAAATCGTTCTTCCTTATGAAATCACCTCTAAGTAACAGCCCGATAGACCATTTTGAGTTCTAGCTTTACATTTACTGATTTGAGATATTGTATAGCTTCATGTGATATTTTATGACTTGTGTGCATTATTTGTTTCGATTTTCGGAGAGTTTTGATGTGTTTTAAAAGAGAAATTTTAATTCTAGAGATCTTATGTTGTTGGAGTTGACTTGTCTTGACCCAAAATCCAACCAAAGGCCGTGATGGTACTTAACCCGCTCGCTAGGCAAGCCAACACACAACAACAATTCTAAAAGCTAATTATTTGGTCATTAACAGAGTCATGATATGTAGAATAACATAGAATAAGTCTCAAGTCAATATATAAAAATACTAATATCTAAGGCAGGGTCAAAACATGAACACAACTGTCTCATAACATCCCAATATCTAGTGTCATCCCATTACGAGCATCTAATAAGAGTAACTAGTTACAATTGACAAATAACGTCTATACAGAAAAAATACATAGACATAAATAGAGAAGTAGGAAAGGGGTACTCTGTGTGTTACATGTCGAATCATGTAAAGCAGCTCACCACAAAGGTTCCAAAATAATCTCCTACTCGGCTGTATGGGTACCACTAGTACCTCCCTCAGAACCTGCACAATTATATGAAGAAGTTTAGTATGAGTATAACACCATAGTACTTAGTAAGTATCAAGTATAGCCTTAAATAATTATTAACGAGGGGTCGATATCGACAGTTACTAACAGTCCGATAATTAGGTGAAAGCACAAATAAAATATGAAATAAGGAATGGTATCATCAAATAAGTACAAAAGCTAGAGACACAGTATATATGCAATTTAGTGTCACGAACAAATTCCCACCCTAGGCAGTTATGGCGACCAACACTGCCGTTAGGCAAGCCAAAGATAAATCAACACACCGATCAATAGATCATAACATATTTTGTAACAAGTGATGGAATAAATAAGCAGAGTCGTTCCATTTTTATAGTAGAATACTGACATCATCTACGAGGTTTGAATATGATCAACACATAAAACTGAATGTCATAACAGAAAGACATCCATGAACAATAATGAAATATACTCGGCGTCACAAGTACATGAACATCAACTGGAATATACAATACTAATACAACAACAGTCTGGAATGGGAAATATATAGTATACAGTAAATGAATAGGAAGGGGATTATGTGTATTGCGCATCGTAACATAAAAAAAAAAGCTCACCGCAAAGTCTCCTAAGAAGCTGCGCCTACCCTGTATGACCACCAAATTTTCCCGTCTCACTACCTCCACAATTAGTGCAGAAGTGTAATACGAGTATGTAAATCAACACATACCTATTAAGTATTTAGTGTGATCTCGAAGAAGTAGTGGTGAGTGGTCGACATCGACACTTACTAGTGGTTCAATAATCAAAGTACAATAAAATTAGATAGGTATGAAGAATACCAGGTAGCAATGAAACAAATAAATGTGTATGACATGATCCTCAACAAAAGAACAAATAGGAAATAATTGAATACCAAATACTACCTCGAATGGAATGTATGTGACCAGTATCCAATATAAATGTCAAATCTGAGCAAGGATACTCATATACGCATAGACTCCCTATAAAGATATTACGCACGATTCTTCCGAGGCGAATGGCTTGATCTCATAAGAATATGTCACGACCCAAATCCTATCATAGGATGGCACCTAGTCTCTAAGACTAGGTAAGCCGATCACTTAACAACATTAAAGCAATAACATAAAGGCATATTTTAATATAAGAGCAGAAATGGCAATACTCAAACCTCTTCCCAGAACTAGGTAGTACAAAGTCATGATCTCTAGCTGAATATATTCAAAATACAATACTGTTCAAATATAAATAGTCAGTATCAAAATAACAGATGAGACTCCAAGGGACTGTGAAAATATGCAGCTCTACCTTTAATCCTCACGATCAATGCAAGCTCTCACTCTCAATATCCGTCTCCTCCAACTCTACACAAAAATGTGTAAAAGTGTAGTATGAGTACACCATGATCGGTCCATTAAGTATCAAGACTAATCTCGATGAAGTAATGACGAGGTTCAAGTCACGTGATACTCACTAGTCAAATAACCTATGGAATGTATGAATAACTAGCAATATAATATGTAATAGAAAATAGTACTAACAATCACGTTAGAACATGTGATAGCAACTCAACGTATAAGAATCCATCTTTGTCAACAAATCATCAAAAAGAAGAGAAGGCATATGAAGCCATGTCAAATTTAACTAATAACTAATCAAATTAAATGACAGAATTTTAAGAAAACATATATGTGAACAAAATATCAGCCATGTTGCATCATATTTTGCACAGGTCAAAATAAAATACAACTAATGGTTCTTCTAAAGTTGATAAAAGAGTCACCACCTAATATTTTAAGGTATATTATGGTACCTATAAATTTCTGAAAAATATTATCCTAATAGTTTACTAACGGGTAAGATTTGGGTAAGGGTTCTAGTTATTATAAGGGGAAGGGGTTAGGCATCCCTTAAAATCTACCTGAGGTAGCTCCTTAAACATAGGTTAGGTTTGGGGAAAGCAATGTCTATATTCCAGTTGATTAGTGGTTAATGTTGCTAAGTAAAATTTAGAAAAAAAATTTTAAGCCTTATTTGAAAACTTATTTTTTAGGAAAAGGTGGTGTATTTCCTTTTGAAAGAGTAATATTTGTTTGTGAGACTTTATAACTTATGGAACAAGAGATTACCTCAAAAAATATGTTTTTTTGGTTGAAGCGGGTATACCTTGTTCTTTTTTAGAAGATTGCTTTAGTAGAAGGCCTTTGTATCTTCAAGCTCATTTGTTATTTCTTACAAACTTGGTTGTGTGTGTGACTGCTTTTATTTTGAAATGATTTTGTATTATACGGGATCCATTTGAAGATTTTCCAAGGAGATTTATTCATTTTGAATCTGTCAAAACTTAAAGCCATTGAAATTCGTTAGCGGTAAGCATCAATAAATAGTGTTAGTTTTCCAAAGATGTACATACACAGAAGCAACAAATAATAGCGGCTATCATTAAAAGTAGAGGAAGAAAAGCTGGACTTGTGGAATACGGCTAGTAAGCAGGCGAGGCCCAGTGAGGTTTAAATTAGCGGCTGACTCAACAAGTGTAGAGGAAGCGGCCCAGGTCTGGAATATGGGCCTGAGTTCCAAATGAACTGAACAGGCCCTGTTTGAACATGCATACATAAGAACAAGAGGAAAATTAATGTATATCAATATAAGGTGAAAATAAGATCAAATCAGAACAAGTAAATAAGATCCAAAGTGTAAGATTTAAATTTCATTTGTTCCAACCCAATGAAGATTAGTTGAGGTTAATGACCAAAGGCTTAGGGTGAACCAAATTTTATTTATGAAGTCGCCTATGGACCCCTAACACTTCAGAGTTCACAAGTGTCTTAGGGATCCCGAGCAATGCTTATGCCACAAACCAAGCTCGCACCCAAGTACCATTAATCATTAACTCCCTACTCCTCAAAGTTTTAGACACAAATAAATGTTAATACAATAGCTCAACTAATGTAACAAAACATATAAAGAAGAGTCAACCATACAAGAAAACATCAATCAAACTATCATATCTGGCCTTACAGCCATTACTGGTATACTGATCGATAGACAAGTAAGGTTTTTACACATTATTGGACTTGAAATACTCTTGATAGAACACAACATAATTGTCACGACCCAAAATCCAACTAGTCATGATGCCACCTAACCCAACCCGCTGGGTAAGCCAATTTATTAATAATCCAACTCAAGCAGATCTACTGAAAAAATAAATGATAAAATAACTGAACTTTTATACAAAAATCACAAGGATTTGTAGTACAAATCGTGAGCTTCTAAAATTTAGAGTTTACAAAGTTGGTATGAAATAATTACATCATATGTTCGAAATATACATAATTTGTTTTTATAAATCTAACGCAACCGTGAACAAGAGGCACCTACAACCGGAACGCAGGTACATCTTCAATGCCAGCTTCCGCCATGCACACCAACATCAAATCCAAATTCTACACGCGGGGTGCAGAAGTGTAGTATGAGTGCAATGGACCACGCGTACTCAATAAGTAATAAACCTAATTTTAGGTTGAAAGCAGTGACGAGCTTGGACAACGGTCAGAGTCTAATACCAATAGCCAAGAACAACTCGTACCAGTATAATGAAACAACACAAGTAATATTCAAAGATATGTTTCTCAGCTCGCTCATAGTTATGGAAAATAGCATGCTTTTAAGGTATAACAGTAAAACACGAATCTTTCACCGAAGTCGCCAAAATGCGAGTACGTCATAAAAACATTTATTTTTCCTAAGAAACTTTCGACAATAGATAAGATGTTCCATTATCAGATAGCATGAGGAAAGTACATCTCTATGCCTACATGTCAATGTGTATGAAAAGTCATAAACATCACAATACCGTATAACATGAGGAAATGCATCTTTGTGCCTCCATGTCCAGTACACATGTCAAATGTAATGCACCACAGTGATAACTCATATGTTCATACTCTCGGAGTATTCAACCACACTCAGCAATCGGCACCTCCTAATCACTCACCACTCTCAATCACTAAGCACCTCCCAATCACTCGGCACTCTCAATCACTTGGCACTTGCACTCGTATGTTTGACTCCGAAGGGGAGGATCCTGCCCAATCGCTAATATAAGACAATCATGGCATGCTGCAGCGTACATCCCGATCCCATCATGAATCAATAAATCATGCTACGGCGTGCAGCCAGATCCCATAAATATCACTCATAATCAGGACCTCAGCCTCACTCAGTCATCAATCACTCCAGTCTATTGGGCTCAAAGATCTCATGCCAATTAGCCTAAAAAATGATAAGATGATGTGACAACAAATGATAACATAGACTGAGATATGATATGCAAATAAATGAATATGACTGAGTATTTGATTGCAATTTAAGCAAATAACTCAACAGCAGAAATGACCTCATTGGGTCCTAATAAAATAATTATTTGACCTAAACATGATTTCTAACATTGATCACAACTCAATTACTCCAACACATAGGAATTACATGTAAAGAAACAAGATAGATAACTACACAGTACCATAGAATCAACCGAGTCATAATTCACATGGTGCAAGCCTACACACCCATCTCCTAGCATGTGCGTCACCTCAATACTAATACATAACATGTATATTTAGGGATTCATACCCTCAGTACCAAGTTTTGAAGTGTTACTTACCTCGAACAAGCCAAATCCAATACCGAGCAAGCTAAACAATACTCTAGAAATGCCATCCCATGCGTACCATTCTCCGAACGACTCAAAACCCAATCCATGTGGTGAAAATCGCCTCCACAATCGCCCAAATCCGACCTCCCCAAGTCAAAATATGACCAAATGGACAAATCCATGATACTATATGTTTCTACCTAGTTGTTCTGCCTCGTTTCTTATGACAAACGATCCCGGAATTCGCTTTTGATGCCTCCAATGGTTTTCTTGTGCAATTCCAGTCAAGTTAGGCTTTTAAATCACTCCATTTGACCTTATAATGACCTTATAATGTTTCAATATTTGAAAATAGTGCAGATTTTTAAATACGAAATCAGTGGCAATTTCGTAATTAATCTATAAATAATTGTCAACCCAATTCATAGTGAAATGACTATAAATTCCTCATACGATGTCAAAACTTGATGATTCTAGTTTCTATGTTCTAGAATTATGATACGGATCTAATTCTTCAATCAAAACAGAAATTGGAGCTCAGTTTCTTAATGTGGTACCATTTATGCTAGAATAAACGACGTCGAAATATTAAAAATGAGCGCAACAGAACCCAAGCCTATCAGAAACTCACATGAGCCCCTCGGGACCCTATCCGAACAAACCAACAAGCCCCGTAACATAACACAGACTTACTCGAGGCCTCAAATAACGTAGAACAAAACTCGTGCCGAACCTAATCAAATCAATTGAGAATGAACTTAAATTTTGCACACAAGTCCAAAATAAAATAACGAAGCTATTCCAATTCCCGGAACCACAATCCGAACCCGATATCATCAAAGTCAACTACCAGTTAAACTTATGAACATTTCAAATCTTCAAATTTCCAACTTTCGCTAAATAGTGTTGAAACCTTCTAGAAATATCCAAATTCAAATCCAAGCATATGACCAAGTCTAAAATCACCATTGGACCTAACGGAAACATCAAAACTATGATCAGAGGTCAAGTACTAAGAAGTCAAACTTGCTCAACTCTTCCAGCTTAAAGCTTCCTAGTTAAGATCAGTCTTCCAAATCAATTCTGAATAACCTAAAAATAAAAACTAACGATTCACACAAGTCATAAAATATCGTACGATGCTGATCAAGACTTCAAATAGCTGAACGGAATGTAAATTCTCAAAACGACTGGTTGGGTCGTTATAATAATAAGGATAGGTTACTAAACATGGCTCATTAAAATTCTGATGGCAACTAAGGTCTTGGTGTACACAAAATAGGATCAATAATAGAACACAATTAAGGATTAGTGACAAACAAAGAAGGTTGACTGTATGCTATCGATAGATAAGCCCTATTGCTAACCACTTCAAATTCAAAGACACCTCATTAAGTAATCTTAATATCAGTGAGTGACAAAGAAGGACATATGTATTAGTTTCATTAACTCTATTGAAGGTTAAACATTTCAGGATCTTTTGAAACAGGTTCAAGTCACATAGAGTAGGTCAATAGGCAGCTCTACGGTCTCAGAATAGTTTGGAGCAAGCATATACATAACTGAGACCCTTCTTTACTAAACACTTATATTAACAACCTAATTCAGACTTCCCAAAGAGATATCAACCAGCAGAGGCCTAAATGTAAATAGAAAGGTTAGTTTTAGTGTTGTTTAGGCCTAATGGCATGACATCTAGTTGTAGTCTATCAGGTTTTCAAGTTATCAGTTCCACACAACTTCAGATTAATGATTAGTGTCCTCTATAAACAGCAATGTCATACAGACATGAGACAACAAGTAAAGATATTTACTCTCAGATGGTTAAAGCCGGGCAAACAAATCACAACAAGTTTACTTAAACATGTAAGCAATTTCACTAGCAGATTACACCAATACACTTTCCATTTTAGACCATACAGGCATAATACATGTTCAACGACACTTAATCAAGTTGTTAAGTTATTAAGATCGGCAGTACTCAATTTAGCAATATTTAATCTTCCCCCCAAATAGTGTCTTAGACATAACATGATCCTGAAAGAACTAACAAGCATAAATAGCCAAAATAAACAGGTAGATGAATGAAGAACATCGTTTGAAATGAACAAGTATGATTACTGTGGTGCCCTAGGTTAAGATGTACCCACATCCTCACTAGGTTATCATGATAAACATAGAAACCATTTTCTTTCTGCCAGACATAACCAATATAAGACCTAGCATGACTGCTATTTGAGGCTCTTTAACTAAACAACTCGATTAGCATAGTAGAACAGGCATAACCATTTGGGAAGATCAACGTGAGACTAAAGGAAAGCAAACATGATGATTTAAACATGAATTTTTCTAAACTAAGAGAATGTGAAGATTCATGAACATTACTGGACTAGTACAAGCAGCATGATGAGTATAGACACAAGTTAATCCCAACAAGCTACCTCCTGATATGTGAGCACACCAACAAATTTCATTATGTGATTTCTTTTTTATCTCAAATCATCATAAGAAACATACATAAATTATTTTACAATAGTAGCATGAACAAGCTGTCAACTAGAGTCAAACAAATCAATATGAAAGTATGAACAACGGTGAAAACTCATTTTATTGGAACTAAAATAATGCAGCATAATATCATAGACATAAGGATCAAGATAGCACAGTGCAGCGGGTATCAGCAGAACTTCAAGACGGGTCCAAAAGCTCGATTCCTTCAACTTAGTCATCATGAAAATATATGTCACGATCCAAATCGATGGGCCGCGATGGGCACTTGGTACCTTACTCAACCGAGTACCAATATAACGTATGTTTTCGTATTATACTATCATAGATTACTGAGCCGGAGAGATGCCGTGTGATAGGTAGAATACAACATGTAATACCAACTTATACATAAGACATATGGGCCTGTAAGACCAAAATAACCACTCGTACACTGAACATAGGCCGACAAGACCATACAATCTTTTACGTACATGACATCTTTCTACAAGCCTCTAAGAATACATAATGTCATAAGGGTAGGAACAGAGCCCCGCCATACCAAACAATACATATCTAAATCATATTGACCAAAAAAAAAACTCTAGAGCAAATGGAGTGCACCAACATATTTCGCTGAGCTGATCGCCTACTTGGAGGACTCTCGACCTGTCTATCGAGACCTGCGGGCATGAAACGCAGCGTCCCCAGGCAAAAGGGATGTCGGTACAAGTAATGTACCGAGTATGTAAGGCAATATATACTGAAAGTTGAACTGAATTGATAATATAATAACTGAAAGTAACTAGGAGTCAAAGATAGTCTGAAGATATGCTTACTTGCTGATACTGACTCAACTCTCTCAATATAGTAAGTAAAATAGTTTTCCGGCCCAATAAGGCTCGGTATATATACAACTGCTCTGTCATAGTAAGCTCGCTCATAGGCGCTCAGCCATACTAGGCTCTGTATCTCGGCCAGCTGGGCTCGCTCATAGACGCTCGACCACAGTAGGCTTGGTATATAACTTACTATCTGATCAGAGGTTGCCCAATAGGGGCCTGCCTATCGATTATAGCTCGATGGTAATGAAAATACCGTAATAGTATAAATATAGGCTCTCTTCTCTCTTGACTGGAAGACGACATTACTCAATTAAATATGAAGTCCCGATAAGGAGAATACTGTAATTTATAAGATTAGGATAATGTATATAAATTCAGGAGTATGAACTTCTCGTCATGCCTCGTTATCAAATACATGTAATTATGAGATCATGCCAAAATGAAGGAAGGGCTTAGCCTTAACATACCCGGAGTAGGAAAAAATTCGTATGATATTGTAGGAAAAGTTTGCACTGTACTCCCTTAGAATCGCAAAATCTCACGTTGCTAAGGTGCTAAGAATTCTCGTTGGAATTTTTGTTTCAAGAAATCTTGTTGAAATCTCGTTGGTTTGAGGTTGCTAACGCTGGAATCCTTCTAGGAATTGGTTGAAGATGTTATGAATTTTCTTTATATATTCTTAACGTCTTTTTTGTAATATTTGCAATAGGAAAACATTATAAGATTACTAGATCGTTTATGTCTTTACACGTAGAGGGATGTAGTGTCTTGTATTTAACACTTTAGCTTGCCACCTTTCAACTAGATCTATGAGTCACTTAATTTGAAGGGGGGG